ACAGCCATTCCATTATTTTGAAATTAAATTGAAATAGTGGAGGGCTTATTTTGAAATTGGTAAACCTCATTCCATGAGGAATAATGCCAATTTCGAAATTGCTATTTCTAAATAAGTCTATGTAGACATTTTGAAATAGGGGGCCTCTAGCCTTCCCAAGGTGCCCTGGTGGCCACTTTGGCCTCAGCCAAGAACACTCCTTTCCCTCCTTCCCTCTCTGGAGCCCTTAAAGGGGTTGACTCTGGCCACAGTGCCTGTGCCAGCTCCAAGCCTGCCAGCCCAGAGCCAGCAGTCACTGCCCCTGACCCAGTAGCCCCAAAACCTGAGCCAGCAAGCCACTGGTAGCCAACCATCCATCGCTCCCCAGGAGCAGTCTGCCAGCTCCCAGGAGCTTATTCAGGGTGGGGTGGGGAGGATGCTCGCACTATGATCTCTGCACTAGATGGAGGAACATGGCCGTCTATGTCACAATAGCTGCCAGCCTGGCCACCAAAGGCCACAGGCAAACCCAGTAGCAGGTTCATATGAAAATCAAGTTGGTCCGGTGAGACCCTCAACCCTGAGCTTCCCCTCCCCCTTCTTCCCCTTGTTTCCCCCTTTCAGCTCCCTCCTCCCAGGTTTCCCCCTCCCCTCTCCAAACCTCTCTCTTCCCCTCTCCCACCTCCTTTCCCCAGTCTCACCAGAGTTTCATTCTCCCCCCAGTTTTGTTAAATAAAGAGAATTTGTGTTTATGAAAATACGTGTATTTTATTTGACATCAATAAAGGGGGTTAGGGAGGGGTAAGTGGAAGGATGTGAGGGAGGAATGAGGCACAAGCCCCCAATAGGGCAGACCAGGGAGGCTCTTAGTACTCCTCAGGGTGGAAGCTCTCACGCAGGGCCTCCTGGATACTGAACGCCCCCCGATGGACCTCCTGGATGGCATCCTGCAGAAAGTGCAGCCAGGCTTGCAGCAACGTGTCCAAGAGAAACACCAGAGTGCCCGGGGTAGCTCTGGCTCCATGGTGCAGAGTGCTGTGGTGTCCCGAGTGAGGGCAACCAGAGCACATGGGGGGGGGGGGGGAGGGGGCCCTTTAGCAAAAGG